CACAGTTCCAAGAACCCAGGTTAGAAAATGGATTTACGTCCCCAAATCCCACAAATCCCCATTCTTTAAAACAAGAGAAGAAGGGGTTTGTAGTGGAGAAGCGACAATGAGCTGAGTATCATGCACAAAAAAATCTGACCTTCGCTGATCTCCAGGACCTAAGTTTTCTATTTGAGGTCCTTAAAAAAAACTTTCGGATGGGGAAACGATGACATCGTCAGGAACAGCGCCGGCAGGTAAAGCCGAAGGGATGGCTCCCGGGGGGCTGCTTCTCCCCTTCCCCGTCACCACAGCCGTGAGAGGCGGGTTCTAGAGACGCCTCACGTCACAGGGGAGGAAACCACGGCAGCGAGGGGTGTGGTCGCTTCTGCAGGGTCACCCGCCAAGAGGGAGAGTGGGCCTCCGTCCAGGCGGGTCTGGCCATCTGCTGCGAACGTCTTCGTCTACTCCCTGAGCAGATGCTGACTAGGCAATACAGCGCTACCGACTGGAACCACGTCGCATCAGCCCCCAGAGCTTCATCCTCTTGCAACTGAAAGTTCCCACCTTTTACCAACCTCTCCCCATCTTCCCCAGCCCTCCGTCCCTGGCAACCCCTTGTCTAGTCTGTTTCTATGAGCCTTTTTTTTTTTTAAGGTTCCACATACGGACGTGGCTTTCTCTGCCTGGCTTGTTTCACTGAGCCTGATGCCCCGCAGGCCCCTCCAGCGTGTTGGGAATAGCAGGGTTTCTTCCTTTTTAATGAATAGGTAATATTTATATTTATATATATATCCATATACAGGAGCAAAAGTAGGTTTACAGTGGTTCCTACGGAAAAAGACATGCAAGTTGTGATTACTACAGTGGCTTCATTAACTCAACAGAATGTCACAATGGCACAGTGCACTTGGGGGCAATCTTGTAAGAGCTCAGGTTGGGGGCCTTCATGGTTTACACGTTCTTTGTGCCCTACGTGCCACACTCCCGCGCCCTTTGGCGCGGCGTTCCTCATTGGCATCAGTAAGCCCACTTTTGTCCTCCAGATAGCTCTCCATAGAGACCGATATAATACAGATGTATAGAGACAGATACCCATCGCATCTTCTCTACCCACTCACCTGTTGACAGACAGCGCAGTTGTTCCCGTACCTGGGCTCCGGGGAGTAATGCCGCAGTGAACGTGCGGGCGCAGACACCCCTTGGAGACCATGGCTCCGTACCGTTTTGACACACTCCCAGAACTGGAATCGCTAAACCGCGTGGTAGTTCTATGTTTAATTTCTTGAGGACCCTCCATACTACTTCCTACAGAGGCTGCACCATTTTACAAAGTGTGCAAAGGTTCCCTTCCGCCACACACTCACTAGCATTTATTGCTTGTCTTTTTTTTTTTTAAGATTTTATTTTTTGAGAGAAGGGAGCAGACGGAGAGAAACATCCATGTGAGAGAGAAACATCAATTGGTTGCCTCTTGCATCCCCCGACCCAGGGACCTGGCCTGCTACCCAGGCCTGGGCCCTGACCAGGAACCAAACCGGGGACCTTCCGGTTTGTGGGGTGATGCCCAGCCTGCTGAGCCGCACCGGCCAGGCCATCGCTTGTCCTCCTGACAATAAACATCACAATAGGTTTTAGATGGCGTCTCACTGCAGTTCTGCTTTGCTCTTCCCTGATGGTTAGTGACGCTGAGCCCCTCGTCGTATTGCCGTTGACTGTGCACGTGACTGCTTTAGGAAAATGCCAATTGCTAGTCTTCGTCTATTTTTTAATTGGGTTATTTAGGTTTTTTGCTGTTGAGCTGTATTGAGTCCGCATGCATTTTGGATACTAGCCCCTTCTCAGAAATGTGGCTTGCAAATATTTTCTCCTAGGCTGCCTCTCGGTTTTGTTGATGTTTCCTTTGCTCTGTGAAAGCTTTTTCATTGGATATTGTCTCTCTCATTTATTTTTGTTTTTGTTGCCTTTGCTTTAGGGATCAAATCCAAAAGCATCAAGGCTAAGACCGAGGTCAAGCGCCTTCTTGCCTGTGTTTTCTTCTAGGATTTTATGGTTTCAGGTCACAGGTCAAGTCTTGAACACATTTTAAGCTGATTTTTGTGTGTAGCTCAAGGCAGGATATAAAATCCACCCCGTTCCAGCCTCATTTCCTGCCCAGAATGCTGTGAAAACCAACACAGAATGAAGTATTTGCATCTCAGTAAAAATGTTAAACCTTCCATTTCAGAAGCTAAGAACTTTCAGAACCAAGAAAAAAAATAGATGAAAACTCAACCACGTGTAAACCTGGGTTTCAACCGAGTCATTTAAAAATCACTTGTCCCTGAGGGGGAATGAAATCTTTGTAATGTGCCAAAAATAACAAGATATAGGTAAACAGTAATGCAAAAACTTATCGGGCAGCTAGATAGCATGGTCCTAGCCTGTCCCGCCAACCCATAAATCCGACCCTGCTGATGGATCATCGGCTTTGACGAGTGTCCCGATTTCACCCCGCCCCTTGGAGCTGACCTTGGTCTGGTTTTCCGGCCTTGAGCCTCTTTTTGTGTTTGATGAAGTATTACTTCTAAGACCCAAAGTTTCAAAATTCGGAAGCTCCTATATTTATTCTCAGCCATAAATTACCCTATTTTACTGTTTAAAAGTACACTTGTTTCCAATGGCTCTTTTTGTTGTGAAGTTATTTTCTGGGTCGAAATTGTGGTACCTGGTCCCATAATTGCGAGCCCAACACGGAGCCTGATTTATTCTGGGTTTGTCTAGCCCCACCGCGGGCCGGCCCCGTGACACCTTGTCTTTTTAAAGCCGGAGAATGTAGTAATGTGATTGGGGTGTTGCGGCAGCTTTCGCCCCAGAGTCTGTGCCCCCCTCTTCGGCCAGGCCCTCCCGCCCCAGCCTCATCTCCAGGCAGCAGCCAAGGAGCCTTTCGCTGTGAGAATCATACCCTGGCCTCCTCTGCGGAAACCTCCCAAGGCTTTATTTCACTCAGAAAACCACCCATAAACCCTTAGGCCCCGCCAGGCCCTGGCGGATCCAGTCCCCGCTGCCGCCGCAGCATGAGCGGGTGTCCCAAATGCAACGCCGGGCAAGAGAAAACACGCACAGCACACACAGGTGTCATCGCCAAGCCATTTTTCAAAAGCAAAGCAAAAGAATGGGGGGTGCTCAAAGGGGCGCTAGTCGTCGTTGGGGGGAGGAGGGAGAGCAGGAAGCAGAAGAGCTGACCAGCTTTCTGGGGCGTGGGCAGCGTTCTGTTTCTTGACTGGGGTGTTGGCCTCTGGTTTATTCACTCCGTGATCATTCATCGCGCGTTATATACCCAGGGCAGTAAAAATGCTTGCCCGGGAGAGAGTGGGACGTGAGGAAGAGGAGGAAGAGGAAGGAGGTGAGGGAGGAGGCGGACTCCAAAGGGGCCAGAGAAACGGAGCAGCCAGGGGAGAGCCGGGAGGCGGAGCCACAGAAAGCTCTTTTGGTTTGGTTCTCACACTGGGAGGTATATTACAGCGGGTTTGCTGTGCCAGGGGCTGATCCTGCAGAAAGGGACTCCTCCGGGTCCAAGAGGACAGGGGACCACGGCTGGAGGGAGGTCCCTGGGTAGTTGGGAGGGGAGGAGGCCCAGTTGGGGGTGGAGGGGCGCCCCTGCCGAGCGGGGCTGGAAGGACCCCAAACCCGCAGCCTCGCGGGCCTCGGGCCTTCTCCCTGGGAGGCCCTCTGCCCACATCACCCAGTGGCTTGTTCTCTCCTCCTGGCCAAGCCTCCTCCACACGCTCCCTTCTCTCAGAGGCTCCCGGCCTCCCGCCCCGAGACAGCACCCAGCTGTGGGCTCCCTTCCCTAAGGCACCCACCCGGCTCCTGACTCCCAGGGAGGCTCTGTCTACCCGTCCAAGGCCCCCAGGGGAGGGTTTTTGCTGGCTGTGCCTGCTGGTAGAGGGCGCTCAGTAAACACTGGTTTGCTACATGTAGCACACAGGTACGGTGTGTAACTGTGCAACAATGTCACTATGATGTTTGTGGTAATACTGTTTCTAAACATTTTTTAAGTGAAAACAGGCCTAACTCTAGACATTTTGAAACTAATTAATATATTTGAAGATAGTCTTCAAATAGACCACAATGCCAGTTATTAAAAAGAGTGAAAATGTCCACAAACGCGTTAAGGGGGGGGGGGGGTGAGTGCAGAACAATAGAATATTATTTCAGATTTCACAGCAAATCTGTCCCCATGCCCGCACTGTTTTCACATGCATTAAACACAGTCTAGAAGGAAGCACACCACTCTGGTTACTTCTAAAGAGTGGGATTTCAGAGGAAGAGAGGGGTTGTTTTTTTTTTAACTCTATTTTATGCCATTTTGTTTTGTTTAAATGTTATAAACCAGGGGTGTCCGAGCTTTTGGAGCCTCTGGGCCACCCTGGAAGACAACGCGTTGCCTTGGGCCACGTGTTGAATACACAAACGCTAACGAAAACTGATGAGCAATTTCGTGTTGGGCCGCATTCCTAGCCACCCCGGGGCTGCAGGAGGCCCACATCCCTCTTCTAACACAAATTAAAATCTCTTTCAACAGATTCAAATGCACTGAAGAAGGTCGCTGTTGCCTGTTGCTGGTGTCTATGGCCTGAGTAAGGGGGCAGGAGAGCGCAAGTTTCGGGGGGAGCGAGCGGGCGCTGCGTGCCTTCCGCTGAGAGACCCAGCCCAGCGTGTGCACCCAGGAGCCAGCAAGGGCAGGGAGCATCGTACCCACCGAGCCGTGTCCATGGGAACGGGGCCACCTTCAATGACAGGTTGCTGACGTCGCCTCTGATCCTCAGAACAAACTCACCAGGTGGGTGGTGGCTCTGCAGATGGGAAACTGAGGCTCGGAGAAATGCGGCCCGGGGCCCCAGGCGATACGCCCCGCTCCCTCCCCCGCCCCACCCCTGCAAACCCGCTCGGCCGTTCTGTGGGCGGGTGGGCCGTGGCACGGCTGGCACGGGGGTCAGATGCGGAGTCCCGGGGAAGCCAGGCATCTCCCGCCCACTCTACAGCCCGCCCTCGGGGAGGGGCGTGCGGATCCCGCAGCAACTAGGAGCCAGGGTCCTGCCAGGCTGGGAAGAGCAGCATTGGGTGACTCCGAGCTCCCAGATCCTTGCAGCAGGGAGGCCGCAGGAAGGCAAGGCAGGGGGGTCAGTGGCAGCCACGTTTTGCAGGGGACCTGCTGTTCGCCAGGAACTTTCAAAACATTGCCTCAGCCTGCAGAACCTGAGCCAGTAAACGACAGCGTGACGTCCCCGTTATGGAGGCGGAAACAGGCACACGCGGAGGAATAATTTACCCGGCGACGTGCAGCTGATGGGAGGGGGCACCGAGCCCCGGTCGCGCCGTTCTGACCTCCGAGCGCACATCCTCCTCCGGGCACCACACCGCCTCTAGGGGTGTCTTGGCCGCCTCGTGCTCGGTGCCTGGCACGCGGGAGCTCAGGCCCCGCTGGGGAGGAGGGGCAGGCGGGGCGGAGGGGGAAGGACAGGCCATCCTGGGCCCCGTCGGGGCTGTGCTGGCCCCTGGAGGGGCGCGGCCGGTGGCGGCATTGGGCCGCCGTTGCGCCAGGCAAGCGGCCTGCCCAGGCGTGGACGCTGGCTGGTCATTCTAGGCCGGGAGCCTGCCGGGTCTCCCGTGGCTTTGCGATGGGGCCTGATCGGTAATCTTGTGCCCTCGTTGGCACCGGAAGGCAATCCTGAGGTGGCACCAAGCCGGCTCTGGGGGTGAGTGTTCGGGGTTTCACCTGCGCCTCTGTCACGGTTAACCTGGACAGGCACCTTCTCCACAAGGCATCCGGGGCCGCGCGTGCTCACTCCGGTACAGGCACCTTCCCGGCCCCGGCCCCGGCCCCGGCCCCGGCCCCCGCTGGCCTGAGTTTATCTCCTTGGCTGGGCGGCCGGAGGGTCTTCCCCAGCCCCGGCTGGACCCGAGCCGCGGCTCTCAGGGCAAACCCCTTCACCTGATGGCCCGTGACCGCCCCTCCAGGCCGCCACGGTCCTGCCCCAGACCTGCCGCGGACAGGGGCATCTCATGACGTCCTCGTACGGCTCCGGTTGTCAGCAGAACTGACGGGGACACCAAGTGTAAACGCGTCCTGGGCCCATCGGGCTCTGTGGCTGTTAGAGGGGCCGGGGCCCTGGCCCAACATGACGTCCACCGTGTGCCTCAGCTCTAGCGTCGGGGGGCGGGCAGTGAGGGTCTAGAGAGGAACACCCCCCCCCCAAAACTGTCCTCACGAGACCCAGGAAAGCAAGGGGGCCGCGGGGGCTCAGCGGAAGGCCTGCGGTAATTCCTCCGCTGCCTGGGATCAGGGTGAACCTTTAAAGTGTTTCATGCCCACAAGACAGGTTCATATTCAAATTTTTCCAAACTATTTTTTTTTTTTTGCTTCTAACAAAAAATAGTCCCCATGGCTGCGGGGACTGTTCCTACTTTCTAATCATTTCTGGCTCGAAACTGAGATCAGCTCCGATCTCAGGGAAACACAGCGCAGCGTTTCCCAGGCTCGCAGCCCCGGGCCCTGGGAGGGGGTCGAAAGGGGCCCAGAACATCCCGAGCCCTAAGCCAGAGAGTTTTCAGCCCTGGCTGTTCTGTTGAGGGTCACAAGAACACGGCCTGAGGCAGGGCGGCCGGAGGAGACGCCACGCCCCGCACCTTCATGGGGCGACTATCTGGGGGCGCGGTGAGGGGACGGGCTGTTTGCAAACTGCTGGGCACAGCTGGGCAGCTCGTTTCCACAACAGGCGGGCGTGCTCCGCTCAGCGGCCTCGTTCCGAGGCTCCTCGGAGCCGTGGGCCAGCCCGCCGACTTGGTAATCTGACCCCGCAAGATCTTCACTCTGGGTAAAAGTGAAAACTACACGCGTCTCATGAGTAAAATTCAACCGTGTACAACAGACTGTGTAAGATAGATGCGTGAGTGTGCGTGCGTGTTCCTGTTTTCTGTTCCCCAGGGTGTGAAAACCAGCTTGAAGCATGGGGAGCTGAGGGCTCACTCCTGCTCAGGGGTGTCACATGCCCGCTGCGGCGAAACCAGCCCTCGCCCGGGATCAACGCAGGTGCAGGTGACTCGCGGGCTCCCTGCTTCCGCGTTCCACCCCCCGGGGGGCCGTTGGAGGCTGGGGGCAGCTGAGGGTCTGCCGACGGCTGGACAGCAACGGCCACGGGGCTTCAAAGGTTCTGGCTTCAAAGTTGTGTTAGGATCCGCCACTGCCAAGTATTCAGAGAAATGATGTATCTTCCTAACGCTCATTCTCTTGCAAAAGCGACCTTCTGCTTTCAACCAGGCCTTGTGAGTAATTTTATAAAACCCAGGAGGTCTCACAAAAATGTGGAAGACTTTCCCTCCCAGAAGCCGCTTCAGTTGCCACCTAGATGGGCCGGAGGGCGGGGAACCTGCCCGCCCCACACCCCCTTCCAGTGACCTTCCTCCTTGCCCAGGGCATTCCCACCTTTGAAAGTCCCTCAACTCTAATCTGGGCCCAGGGCGCTTTCCCTTAATTGTCCCTCTGACTTCCCAAGGCGCTTCTGAAACATCACAGCAAAACTGACCCGGGCCCACCAGCGCGGACGGATGATCGCTGACGCTGGGCCCAGCGGCCGGCGGCGGGGGGGCGGCGGGGGGCGGCGGGGGGCGGCGGGGGGCTCGGCTCCTGGCGGTCACCTCTCTGCGCCCCTCGGTGTGTGGGAGATCAGCCCCGAAAACCGCAACCATGGCCCCGCATCAGCACCGTCCCGTGCAGAGTGCAGCCTTCCAGGACCCCGCGAGCCGCACCTCCCGGTGGGGTCCGGAGGCGCACGGCTCTCGCAAAGCCCTCCCGCGCCTCTGCGGCAGCCTCCGCGCTCCTAGACACAGGCCGTTAAAAAGACCCCCGCCGTCTGCAGAGCTGCATTCCCAGCACCCAAGATAACACTGGCCAAGGAAGAGCTTGAAAAATTGATGAGCAACCGGGTGGTCTGTGAGGGTTTCGTCGACCACACAGCGTTTTTTGTATGAACACGACCAATTCCTGTCCATCCGCCCCGTGCGTGGGGGCGAGCAGCAGGCGGGAGCAGATCGGCATGTGGCCACGGACACACCGGCTCCCGCTTGGCCCTCTCCCCTGCCGTCGCGGCGCCTGACTGTGCCCACCGCGCTCTTCCCTCTGTCATTGCCATACCGAGTCCAAGCCCTCCCTTCCCCTCAGGCCCCCAGTCCCTCGGGCGTCCACCCAAGGGTCTGTGCGTCTGTCCATCCCACCAGCCAGGCGGCTGACACCGAGGACAGACATGGGTAAGGCGAAGTCCCTTGCCTCAAGGAAATGCCCGATAATTCTCCGGGGCCGCAGAAAGGGCCCAGAGAAAGTTTGCTTCTGCCTCCTCCCTGTTCGGACGGGGACCGGGGCTGCCGTGCCACTCGTGGGAAACCTGCAAGCTGTCCCATTTTCTGGGCAGACCCCTGACACCTTCCTCATTGAGAAAACAGCACTGCGACCGTCTCGTGACTAGTCAGCACGATTTCACACAGGAAAGTCCGGCTCCTTGTCTATGGGCTCAGGCCCCGCTGCCCCTTCCCCCGGGTGGAGAGCTGAGCTTGCCTGGAAGAGTATCACTTGTTCAGCGTGCAACTTCAGCATCAGAAATGAACGTGGACATTGCGTGGCGTTCGGGATCGTGGGAACCGGCTTTGAAAGAAAACGCGGAGTTTTCGCGACAGATCCGGTCGCCTCGCCTTCCTGTCGAGAGGAGGGAGAGGACCGAGAGGAGCTCGTGGACGGGACCTCAGGGTGCACCCCACCCTCCGCTGGGTCACCAGCCACAGGCAGCCTGTCACAGTCCACGGGGACCCGGGGGAACACAATGCCAAGAGAAAGTCCCAGCAGCAACAAGACCAGCTGCGGGTGTCGGAAGCCGCCTCGGTGCCCAAAACACCTCAGCAGGTTCTCTTACAATGTTGGATCGATGACTCCTAACGGGCAAGAGTGCGGAGGCGGCACACGTCCGCAGCAACAAGCGTGGAACCTTAGCTGGAAACGTCCCGTGTCTTTACCACGTTTGTCAAACAGCTGCAGATTCCACCACCCTGGCTTCCTCAAAGGGAAGCGATGCAATTGAGTAGGAAGATTAGGCTCCTAAAGTAAATTTTAAACGCCGCCAAAAATCTGGTCCCATTACAACTCCCCGCCCCACGTGCTTCTAAAAGACAGGGTCCACGTTCGCGCGACAAAACCACAGTGGATCACCATTTGGGGGGCCAAAACTGAGTATTTAATTATAAAACACATTATGCCTAAGAACACTTCAAGGAAATAGAAACCAAAAAATCTTTCTCCCTTTACTTTCAATAGCCTTTTCTCCTACCTACAAAGAGGAGGTGAAAACCAAACAATAAAACCTCCTCGTCTGTAACAAAAGACTCTACGGAAAAATTTACCTGTTCGCGATTATTCCATTCAGTGGATTACGAAGTGCACCCACACACACGTCGATGCTCTGGCGAGCCGTCAAGGGGAAGGCTCGCATCGCCCTCAGACTGAGGTAACTCATTTGAATGGCGGAGAACAAAGCAAGCTCTCTAAAATGTCAAATCTGGGCGGGGGGCGGGGGACCCACCCAGAAATAGGTGACAGTAACTCACAGCAAAACTAAAACTGCTCAAGTGGCCATACCCACCCCCAGCAACACCGGAGTATCGGTGCACCGCCCCCGACACGTCCCTTTATCCGGTCCCGCGGGTCTTCTTAATCGTGCACCGTTCTCATCAACTGTGGAACCGTTTTTGAGGGGAAAAAGAGTGGCGGTTTCCAGGCCGTCCGCCCGGCAGCTATCAGGGCGGGGCGCGCGGTGCGGACGGGGGCTCTCCAGCCACCGAAGCGTTCAGCACGTGCGCCAGGAGCCTCGCGGGGTAACTCTTCCGACGTGAGGCCTCCGGAGGTAGCTTTCGAGGTCGCCCTGTCCCACGCTTCCTGAGTTGTCCCCCTGCGCCCGCCGGGTGGGCTAGAACACGCGTTCCAGCCACGGGCTACCGATACGCCCAAAACTGCGGCTGCGAAGGGGAGAGACACCGCGTTACCGGAGCCCGGCCCCGCCCTTACTCGTGAGGTTATAAACGTGCTTCCCGTGCCCTAAAGCGGTACGGCATGATCTCCAAAACCGCGTGAAATGTTCAGGTGCATTACACCTGCAGGTTTTTAAATATTTATGACTGTTATTAAAAGTAATGTTTTTCTTACCACAAACGCTGGAGACTAAGTACAGGTCAACAATAGAACAACAGTGTTGCAATGTGTTGCTATACTGATGACTTAGCAATGGCTGTTAGGTTTGTTGATACAGGCGTCATATGCCAAGATCTCTTTGTAATTCTCCAGCATAGTTTTCCCATAAACGCTTTGGCAAGGTCACGATTATTCCCGTTTCATAGATGCCCCCTGGAAACCCTACTAGGAGGTACCTACAAGGACAGTTTCAGGGCCAAGAGCTCATCCACATTAAGGACGCAGAGTATGGGGCACGCTCTTCCCCTACTGAGCACTCAAAACATGCTGGCTACTGTTATTACGCAAAGGTAGGAGCCCCCATTTCGAGGTGTTTGGAGCACAGTCTGAGCAGGCCAGCCGGGCTGGGGTCTTCCCCCAGAGGCGGACGGCTCTTCCCCACCCCCATGAAGATGCCACCGTTTACGGGTGCTGGTGCGCCCGCCGCAACGCCCTTCCCCTTCCTCCCTCCCAGCCCCCGACCACGCTTCACACCTCTTCAGGGCACGCTCTCAGTCCTGCGCCCCTGCTCTGACGGCCCCTCCCGCGGGGGTGAGCACCCCGGCCTCTCCCAAGTCTGGGCAAGGTCATCGGCAGCGGCGCTCCTCCCGCGGATCCGACAGCGCCCAGGAGGGCGGGGACTGCGCGCACGCGCGCTACGTGCTCAGCGGCGGCGCGAGGCCAGACGCGGTGGGGGCCCCACCAGCCTCTGTGCCGGGAGGGCGCCTGGGGCCTGACAGCAGCCAGCTTCACGGCTGAAGAACAGGCTTCACCTAGCATGGCAGCTGGCGGCAGAGAGGCTGGGTGGCAGCCCCGGGGGTGGGGCCCACGGAGCGCGAGGCTGGGAGAGCGGTGTGTCCCCGTGGAAGCCGAGGGGCAGAGGGAGCAGCTCTGAGGGACCTGGGCTCCATCTGGTTACCGAGGCTCCCACCAGCTGAGCCGCGTCCAGACTCACTGGCTCCGGACACCTCGACACCACCGCTGGGAACGCGGGCTGGAGGCCCGGGCTGACTGCGCCCGGTCCCACGCCTACGGGGTTTCTGACCAGGGCATTCGCAGCAACACGCACGTCAGGGGCCTTGCTGGTTGGAGGGACAGAGCCCGGGCAGGTCCAGGAGCCCCGAAGACTTACCAGGCAGTCGGGCCGCGTCGTGCGCGCCTGGCCCTGCGCGGAGCTGCAGTGCGGAGGGAGGCCCTTGGGGGCTCCAGGCCCGGGCGACGGCAGGGACCCCCAGACACTGTGACTGGTGCCGGCCGCCGCGCCCCAGCAGGGGACGACTGTGGGACAGTACCTGATGGCGTGGGAGGAGCTAAGGGGCAGCGCTGGGCTGGGAGCGCAGCCTTGGTGCCTGTGCCCGGCCGCTGTCTCCGGGGCGGAGCTGGGAGGACCTTGGAAAACAAGGAGAGTGCGTGACCGTCAGTGTGCTCCCGTCCCCGAGCTCTCTGTCCTCCCCACGTTTCGCACAGACAGAATCGCTACACCCGACTGCTGCTGGGAAAACAAAGCGGACACGTTAGGAGCAGCATTTAATGCAACAGGTACATTACAAACGAGGGTCCTCGCGTCATTAGAGGGCGGATTTTAGAGAAGCATCAGTGTGTGTGTGGGGGGGGGGGGTGCTGTTTCCACCGTAATCAAAAGGTGACCGTCCCCAGGAAGCAAGACGTCGGAAGAACTCCCTGCAGCCGCGACTGCTTTTGGCTGATTCCCTGCCAGGGCGGCAAGCTGCGCCGCTGCATGGACGCAGCGGCGCCCAACGGCCCCTGGGAGGCAGGAACACACTTAAAAATGCATAATGGATGTTAACAACGTAATCTCAAGTGACGCCATGAATACCTGTTTATTTTTTTCTGGACATTAATAATAATAAAAGCGATTGTACTTCTAACTACAAAGGTACCTGGAATATTTGCGAGTCTTCGCATTTCAGCAGACGCGTGCGCTGATTGGCGGCAAAGGACAAGCAAAGGCAGCCTGGCGTCGCCTAAACGCTGCGCTGGATCAGCCCACCCGCATCACGGTCCGGACGGGCGTAGGTGACCAGAACGAAGTCGGAGGGACGTCACTGATTTCAAACACTTGGCTCACGCAACACGGGCTCTACATGTGCTCGCGATCTCAAACTCATTCACGCCAGACTTCCCGGTACTCAGCCCAAGGAAAAGACCAAAGTGCGGAAAAGTCACAGGGGGACATACGTGCTTCCTGTCGTAGAAGAGAGGTAGGCACTCTCCCCGTAAAACCGGAAACTCTAAATGCGTACCCCGGAAACTATAAATGCGTGAACATGAAACTGTCTAGGACGCTAGGCTAAGTAACAAAAGTGGGGGACACAATCGGACGTCCCTCACGACCGCTCCTGCAGGAAAATGCACAGAAAGAGACTTGAACGCAAGACATTTAGAAAACAGTTATTACCACTGTTGGGTTAGTAAAGGACTACTATTGCTTTTCAAATGGAAAAATGTAAGTCAAATGAAAACAAACGGGGGTTTTGACTCAAGGATCTGCAAGCTCTCCTCCCGCCTGAACTCGCACGGTGAGAACGCAGAAGGAGGGGACGTAGGAGCAAGAGGTGACAGCCGCGGGCACGCACCCACGGCCTGACCTCCATCTGAGTGGACACGGGCTGATCTCGGCACTCGGCGCGGCCGCCAGCCAGCTGCTCTCAGCACGTTAGCACGGTCGCGGCTACTTCCTTCCCCTTCTCCTCCCCGCTCTCCCTGAGGCTGGAGAGAAGCCTAAGCCGACCAATGAATCCCCCGGACGCTGGCTTGGTTGCATGACCAAGGGGGGCTACGTTCTGGTTTCGCCCCCCTTTCTCTTCCGACACCGGACACCATCCCCGGTGAGTCACCGTGTAGTTGCCTGTGGCTTCCGCTCTGTCCCTGCGCTGAGCACGGCGCCCTAAGCAGCACTGCGGCGACCGGAGGAGTCGCGTCGTGCGGCTGCGGCCGCTCTGCTTCCGATGTGCGACCTCCGTAAGGAAGGGGACCACGTACTGGTCGTCCGCGTGCCCCCACCCGCGGAGCAGGGACGTCTGAGCTGGAACCGGGGGACGACCGGGCAGTGAGCCGGGTCGAGGGCGCGAAAGGCCACCCCAGCGCGGGCAGGCGCGGTGAGAGTGCGGGGTCCCCTCGGTGCGGGTCTGGGCAAGGGCCGCCGCAGCCTCGACGCCCGGGGAGGCAGCCGGGTGTCCCCGCCTCTGAGAGGCAGCCCAGGAGCGGGACACGCGGCAAGGGCTGGCGTCTCACGGAAGAGTAACCTTCGGGGACGCTAGGTCACACAGTCGCTGGGTCCTTTTACTCTGCCTCTGCCTCTTCAATCTTATTTCTGCGAGTACATGGGCGGCCCAGCCTGTGTAACCCAAACAACACACGCGCCCCGTGGTGGGTAAAGGCCTGTTCGCAATGAACCTGCGTGTCACGCCGCTTCCTGAGCGTCCATGCGAGTCGGGCACGGCTCTCGGCGCTAGAAGCACAGCAATGAGCGTAGCCGGCCGGAAAATGCCCCATGTGTGTATGCGGGGGGGGGCGGGGGAGGTATTCTAGTGGGAGGAGGCAGGCAGTAAGTAACACGTGCAAGGCTACAAAAGGCAGGAAAGCGCACAGAGGAAGCGGGCACGAGCCCCACACAGGCGTGACACAGGCATGACACAGGCGTGACGCAGGCAGGACGGTGCTGGGCTCGCCCGGCCCCCAAGAAGGGGACACAGGCATGAAGGTGGTCAATCAACTCACGCGTGCAGCGCTCAGGACCTAGCGGGGAATGAATACAAACGTATTCCCTTTAGGTTCTACTCGCATAAATAAAGCCCCCAGCGCGCTGGTCACCCCTCAGTAAGGCGCGCTTTCTGGTCGTGACGGTCAACGTCGGGCCCACCTTCGGAAGGGCGCTAGTGAGGTGCCTGGGGCCGGCCCGTGTGCCTCAGCAGGCGACCCCGGAGCGGCTCCTGGTGGGACCCCCGGCCGGGCTCCAGCCCCAGGTTACGGGAGTGGGGGGAGCGGAGAAGCCCAGGAGCGCGCGGGTCCGGCATGTTGCCACCCCCGGGTGCGGCCGAGCTCACCTCTCACGGCGCCATCTGAGGGGCCCCCGGAGGCAGGGGCGGGGCACAGACTCAGGCACCTGTTCGCCAGGAAGCTGATTCCTCTCCCAGGTGGGTGCACGCTGGCCGATACACTGTTTTCCCTTAAAAAGACAGAAAAAAAAGTACTTTACACATTTCTCAAGGAAGACTGCAGGAACATGACTGAGTTCCATTGTTCTTCTATCATTCGGGTCATAAAACACAGCACAAGCCCAAACGATGGGTTGTCGAAGTAGAAGAATGCGTTGCCGAACGGGACCCGCATGATTCTTTAGGGTGCGAAGGAATGACGTGCTTTTCCTCTCTCGTCTTCCTTCGTTTACTCTTCCAATCGGCTTGAATAGGAAGTGCTCCTTTGGCACGTCACCGTGTGTGCTGGTGGTTTTGTGAGGGATTCATTGCTCCAAAGCCTGTGACTTCCCGTGACAAAGGAACGCTAGAATCCACTGTGTCCCTACTCGTGGCCACGGTCACGGCCGCCGCCACCGGGAAAGCCCTGGTTTAGGGTCCTCGGAAATAGCAAGAGGACACTAGGCAAGTGACAACAGCACCGGGGCCTGAAAATACCACGTATTTTATCGCTGCCGTGAAATGATGTGCCTCAGCCATGGGGTTTCTTTTCTAACCCGCACCCGAGGATACGGTCACTGGTCTCAGACAGAGAGAGGGAGGGAGGGAGGGAGAGGGAAACATCGACATGAGAGGGACACAGGTGGGTTGCTTCCCGTGCACCCCCCCCCCAACCGGGGGCCGAACCCACCACCTCTTGGTGCCCAGGTTGGACACGCCCCAACCCACGGAGCCACCGGCCGGGGCAGTTCCCTGAGCCCTAACCAACGCCAAGGCGCTCACGTGGGCGGGTGCGGGCCGCCTCCTCGCCCCACAATGGCACCGGGGGAGCCTGCAGGGGCCCCGAGCACACCTTGGCGTGGCGGCCGCACTGGGCAGGGGCAGCTGGAAGGGCGCTTGCTTCTTGCAGAACCTGGCGTTGCGCTGGAGTGCCTCCGCAATCTGCAACAGAGAGCGAAGGCTGCACTTAGCGGGGCCCGTCCTCCTCACCGACACACGCACGCCTCCCGGGACACAGGCCAGAGAGAGGCACGGTTGTAGCGTCAAAGCCTAGCCGGGGGGCGGCGGGAAACGCCGGGGCCCCGGGTCCATACCTGGCCCAGGACGGCCGGAGGGATTCTGTCCCGGACCCGCTGCACGTGCTCCACGGCGGCCTCCAGGACGGACGCCGCGTCGTTCTTCCTGCCCTTGCCACCCGGCACCAGGGCGCGCAGCTGCTCACAGCTGTGCTTGATGCGCTCCCTGCAGGGGGCGGCAGAGGGGGGCCATCAGCCCCGGCTGCTTCTGCACCCACCAGCCCCCTGCCAGGGGCTCTGCGTAAAAAGCACGCTGCCCCTCCCTGTCTAGTCTCCCAGTGGGAGGACGGCCGTGTCCCCAAAAGCCAGCAGCGTCACAAGCCCTGGGCGCCCACATGGGCAGCATGTGCTCACAGACCCCAGGCCCAGACCTGGGGACACAGGGGTCCCCTTCTCTGCCGTTCCACGTCCCAGGATCAGCGACCTGCCGTCGATCACTGGCCAAAAACATAAAGCGGAGAAGTTCGGAATGGAACAACGTGTACGTTTTAAACTGTGCGCTGTTCTGAGCTGCGTCATGAAATCACCCGCCATCCGGCTCGGCCCGGTCTGGCCTATTGGGAACCATCCCTCGGTCATGTGCCTCCGCGCTGCGTGTGCCGCCTGTGTGCTGGTGGCTCCGGGGTTGTCTCCGATCGCTTACGAGAGACCATATGCACCCAGCTTTTATGACAGTGTATGGTTATATTTGTTCTATTGTATTAGTAGTTACTGTTGTTGATCTCTCGTTGTGCCCGGTTTATAAATTAGTTTTTCAGAGGTATGTATGTATAGGGGAAAACAGTACATATAGGGTTTGGTACGGTTTGTGGTTTCAGGCACCTCCTCGGCGGGGGCGGGGGGAGGTGGGGATCTTGGAATGTCTCCCCTCGGGTGGGGGCCACTGCCCACATCCACCGATGGCGCCTGCCGTTGGCTCTTCCCCCAGAAGAGGGACTTGCGCGCTCTACAAAGTGAATCCTCTGGCAACTCCCACTAGAAGCCTAGAAGCAAAGAGACATCAGAATGTTCCCATCACTGTGACCTGGGCCACGTTTCGAACCACAGATCCGTGAGCCTCTCGTGAGCCAGGGCTGGGCACTGAGCCAAGGGCAAGGCCGCAGGTGCGGGCAGACCGACAAACCACACGCAGGTGAGAACAGCCAGGCCGGAGCCAGAACAGAGCTAACCTGCACGTCCCATAGTTCCCAAGGGAAACGCGAGGAAATATGAATCTAAATTCACCAAAGCCTTCGATCTCTTCATTTTTCCAAGGATTCCTGTCATAAACACGAGGAAACGCCTGCCTGCGCTGACTATCACGCCTTGAGGGCCAGGACCGCCGGCAGTCACCTAACCTCTGAGCCTTAGCAGGGCAATAATAGTGCTAAAAAATCTAGTCCGACATGGACCAGTGACTACGTGAGCTATTCTAGGTCAGCGGTCCTTTCAATGGGCTTCGGGGAGGACTGAGGGTTCGGGGCCTGTCTCAGGGGCCGTTCAGGAGAGAGAGAGAGACGGAAACGTCAACAACTTGACAACGTGAATGGAGGGCTTTGAACCTTTCACACACGTGAACATGGAGCTTTCACGTACAAGGATCTAAAACACGGGACAAACTTTTTAGTATCCGTTATAGCAGCGTGTCAGGAAACGATGAAAAGCAATCTAAACATGCAAAGTAAGCGGATGTGTAAGCAAGCACCAGCGCATTCGCTCAGCAGAATGTTCCTGGGCAGTGGAAATGAGTTACAGAGCTCACTGCGGAAAACGGGATATTCGTATAGGATACGACTGCGGGATACAAGACGGCAGCTAAAGTATGACCACCGCCATTAAACAAAGGAGACACACAGCAAAGAAAAAAAACAAGACTGAAAGGAAAACCACCACCTAACGGTTATTTCTGGATGACGTGGGCTGTGGAAAATACGATTTCTTCGTTTTATTTTCCATATTTTCCAAATGTTTTTGCGAGGCATACGTCACTTTCATAATGAAAAAGCACAGTACAGGTTTTCCCAACATCTATTAGGAAAACATTCTAACATAGAGAGAGGTTGAAAGAATTAAAAAATCTTCATACTTAGACGATGAAAGAATGAAGAGCCTGAATGGGCAGCACTTACGCACGCCCCGCCCGGAGCCCACAGTGAACACGTACCGTCCTCGTCGGTCCCGTATTAAGCGTCCCTCTGTCCCTCTGTCCCCCCGCCGCGCTATGCCGACGCACTTCCGAGCAATTGTTCCGCGGCCTGAACCGTCGCGATGGCCCCCAAGGCTCTCGCCCCTGCTTGTCTTGTCTGGAATCACAGCCACCTCGCACCCGCCCCGCAGACAGACCTGCATCCGCAGCGTCTGCATCTCTAGCCCGGGCCTTTCTGCGGACGGCACGGGACAGCCAGCGCCACCGAACCCACAGGCGTTCAAACTCACCAAAAGCGGGTCACCCCCGGCCGTCCGCTGTGCCTCCTACTCGGAAGTTACGCTCGACCCCGCCCCAGCCACGCACCCGTTGACTCTGCCTACCCCGTGTGTCTAAAGTGGGCTTGTCCCCCGCTCTCCCAAGTCTGACACCATCGTGCACGGTCTCGTTTCCTCCTACGGATGCTCTGGCCTCCGCGCTCAGCTCGCTCTCCGACGTGCTGGCGGAGGGCTCGTCCTAAGGCCCATGTGTGGCCACGCCACCCCTTCACTGGTCCCTTCAGCACCTCCCCCGGTTGCCCTCAGGTTCCTTAGCGGGACGCCCTCAGCCCTCGCCCGCGACCCCCCGTCTCCTGCCTCTTTCCGCCTGAGTCCACTCATGGGAACACTCGCAGCTCCAAATTCACGGGCCTTTCCCACACGGCCAGCCTCTCTACCCACCCACAAGCGCCCCTCCCTGATTCCTGAACCACAGCAACGGCAACTTTTGGGTTACAGCTCGGCGTTGCCCCCACCTTCTCAGGAAACCCTCCTTGGCCCTCCTTCTGCCGGAGGCAACCTGGCTGGGAGCCCGTTGTGTGCTCGCCTCCGCCACGATAGGTGTCAGAGCCTGGTTTCCGACTTCGTAGCCGCCGATTTGGGAGGCTGGCTGAGCGCTCCGCGAAGCCCTCCGCGTAGAGGAGGGTTTGTTTTTCATCTCAGTTCTCCGGTCACTTTCTGGCACGCAGGAGATACTCACAGCTATTCGCTGAATGACTAAGTGAATGAATGAGCGGCATGTATGTGGTTGTGAGATTACTAGTCTCATGTAGGCCTCTAACAATATTACAAAAAATTATAAAATTCATGAAAGCATTTCTTCCTGCAAAGGAATGGTGCTAAAAATTCAAAATTCACCTTCTCAGCTTTTCCTTGCTTGAATGAAGAAGAGAAATCCTTTTGCTTCTTTCAAAATCAGACAACGGAGCCTTTAATTCAAGTCCAATGTCGTTTCTTAGAGAGTCAGAACTAGAAACAAGGGAAAAATCACACCATACATTTAAGAGGAACATTGTCAGGCAAGAGTAAACAACCCCTAATCACAGGGTGTTTCTCCAAGTCTCTCGCTTCATACAACGGTGCAGTAAATATCAAAGCACTTTGCCTTACATATTTGGTGCAAAACATTTCAAAAGAGTTTATATCAAGATCATCCTAAACTCAGTGACTGATCGATATTCTAAAATACATTGATAAAGAATAACAGCTCTCAGCAAGATTAAAATAACCATCCGAGCCCACTGGTTGCCGCGACCCCATATTATGCGGCTGCACCTCCAGGCGCATTAGAGGAGAGAGAGGAAAAGGTCAAAGGGCCGCTGCACGCGCTTCTCACCCGGTTGGCACGGCTGGTTCCCTCTGCTTAAAAATTTACCGATTATTGGACATTTTCTAGCTCTACCATTTCTCTAGAACTTCTCTAGGCATTTTGATGAACTGAGTTGATTTTTTTTTTTACAGCTTCCCTAAGCACCTTAAAAACTAATATTACCTCCTTTATCCCTAGGGATATAACTTGATTTGAAAATTTCCTTGTATTGTTAGTAGTAGGATTCTGAGGAAAACAGAGACCCCAGACGAGGGGACTCAGAAAGCAGTCACAGGTAAAACGAGAAGACCCCAGAGCTGTCCAGACCCTTTCCCAGCCTCGCATTCCAGACGTGGTTTAAGACAGTAAATCTCTTTGAGGTTAAAATGTTCAATAAGATTAAGGGAGCTATTGATATCTCTGTATTACTTAAGTGAGTGCATCTTTGGTTTAACCACACGGATTGGCTGCCAAGCCTCTTCCTTGATCAAAATAGTAAACGCTCCCATTCTATAAAGAGCAGATGGTCACATTCAAGAAATTCCGGAAGTGGCTGACTCAGGATCCCCGCCATCACCGCCCCTGGCGGCGGCAGTTACATCCGCTGCCTGCAACCCTTCGCTCTATTTAAAACCCCCTTGGCAATCGGCTGCAGGTGCAGGAAAGAAAGGCACGGGAGCCGAACTGGTAGAAGCCCGATGCAAGGCCAGCCTCCGAAGGGCCTGGCCCCAGCTCACCTGCCTACACCACGCGGGTGGGGATGCGGGTTCTAACCCCTCAGGCTGAGAACCAGAGGCAGAGACACGCCCTGAAGGGTCATTTTCAATCATGGGGGTGCAGGTTAAAGGGGGCACCGGAGAAGCTCCGTGGTAGGTGGGTGACAGCCGAGACTCTTATCGAAGTGATTATTGGGCTTTATGTAAAATAGTTGTTTGAAGAAAAGATTCTGTTGAGAAGCAGTTTGGCCACCGCTGGTATTACTTAATTTTGATAGGTGGTAACCCAGACTCCCCCTGAACACATCCGTGATGGGGAACTTCGCCCCTTACGATCCGCCTGCCCCGCTGTGGGCAGCTGCGATTGGTACAAAGTGGCCCTTCACATTTAGCGGACTGCCCCGGAGTGGGTGACCGCAGCCCAAGCTCGGGTCCTGAAACGCAGGCGAAGGGACACCCCTCTTCCCCAAAATAGCCTCTTCCGCCTTGCGCATCGCCCCCGGCCTGGAGCTGGCGTCCCACAGTCAGTAAGCCTCCCCCCCCACCGGTGTTTAATGAAATGCCTACAGTAAACACGGCTAGTTTGAGAAAGTGGAAAAAAAAAACAACAACGAACCAAGCAAACAGATCAGCGGAAAAGCACCCCAGGCCTTCGGTGCAGGGCTCTCGCGGGGGCGGCCGGGGCTCTCCCGCCGTCACGGGATTCTCCCTCTTCACTGAAATTTCAAAAGGGGGACCACGTTAATGGTAGAGCCACTGCCGCCGTCGATGTTCATCACGTGGACACACCTTCATCGACGGCCGTTGTCACTTTTTACTCAATAGACTTTATAAAGCAGTATTTTTTAACATCCTCACCCAAGAGCAGGTTTATTGATTTTTTTTTTAAGAGAGTGGGGAGGAGGGGACGGGGAAACAGTGATGTGAGAGAGAAAGATCGAGCAGCTGTTCCCGCCCACACCCCCCTCAGGAACGGAACCCACACACTCTTGGTGCACGGGACGATGCTCCAACCAACCCCGCCACCGGCCAGGGCACAAAGCAGTATTTAAAACAAAAAACAAACAAACAAAAAAAAACCCCAGAAAGCAATCTATCGATTTTAGGATTGAATCACGAAACCACCCAAGTTAGTGGGCAAAATTAAAATACTGCATACAATTTACCCCAGGTCATCCTCTTTCAACCAGATTCTAGAAACTTAGAGACAGGTTTGCTTATAGCACATTCAACTGAGTTTGCTCATGAAGCTGTTATTTACAGATGGATGGCTGAGACAGAAAGTATGTATGAGTCTTCGGGCAGCAGCTACGTTGTCAAACTATGGCATCTGATGGTGTCATTGGGTTTGTTGTGCGCGGGGTGGTTTGGTTGTTTTTTTTGGTTTGCAGCTGCTCGCCCTCAGAGCCGGGGTGAGCCGCCGGGAAGCAGACGTGGCTCTGACCCATCGGAAGGGCGCGAGACAGGTGGTGGCAGCCAGCTGTGCTGGCTCTCCTGGGAAGCGCGGCAGCAGGCAGAGCTGCGGTCGCCGCAGAAGCCACTCCTGGGAGGAGGGGAGCCACCGCAATGTCCCTGAGCAGACTCACTAGCCTTCCTTGAGTGTTCATAAAGAACAGTGAAAACGAAGGGACACGCTGAGTCCCGGGCCAGCTGCTGTACGAGCTCACACGGGTCCTCTGCACATGCCTTTCAGGCCCCTTTGAAGAAAAATATCATCTCAATTTTAAAAGATGTCCTCGCTAGCATCCTGGGCCTAGGAAACCCATAAACAGCCGCTGATTGTGGCCAGCAATGATTGAGTGGAATTTCAGAAAGTGGAGTCTGCCCTTTGACAAGCCAAATTCGAACATCTAATTGGCTTACGTGGTAGATGCCAGCGATACACTACGTTGATACAACAGAAGTGAGGCGTTTAAAAAATGTGGGGTCTCAGTGAAGCACTCTCACTGTCTAAAACAGAAAGAACCACCCTATTAACGGAAAAAAGTAAAGTAATTTAGAGGCGAGTGTTTTGATGCGCTTTCGGGTGGGGGCCCTGGCATTAGACAGTCACACAAGGCCACAGTCCGATTAGTTCCATTTTAATGACGAAGGAATGATGGCAGTAGCTAGGCTGTCAAAAGTAAAAGTATCGGTCTCACTGTCAAAAATAACCCGTGCCCACCACAGCGCGGCCTTCGCCCTGAACCACACACTCAGTCCCGGGAAGACGCGAGTCTTTCCTCACAGGTAGAGAGTGTTTCCCTCCATTTTATTTACACTTGTTTTCTTCAGCCCACGATTGACAAGGGTCACGTGTTCTCTACAGTACACAGCATACGGTTAGTCTTCAGCAAGTAAAAGGCATATGTGGAAAACCAGCTTTAAAAGATATACATGTAATTTTTGCCATATGTTAATGAGAAATTTTCAAACCTTAGGAAATTTATTTTTCACTCACCAGTAGTTGAGAAATAGGTTTCCCAGTATTTTACCACAACACTAAGTTTCTCCATCGTCAGTGGTTCAGTTATTGTAATATCAGCTCCATGCCCTGAAATACAACCTAAGAATATTTGTATTAAATATTGACCGATGGTTTCTATCTAGAGAAAAAACAAATAATATATCCAGTAGGCACATACCTTTAAAATTTTCAGGGATTATAAAAACAAACAGAAAATGTGTATTTTTCTTCTTGCCAAATCTGAGAAGAAAAACAAATGTTAAAGTGAAGCAAAATCGTCATTCAGAAAATTGGGATTCAATAGCTTAGCTTATTAGGAATTGAACTAGAATGATTTTATTTCTTTAGAATTTAAAATGGTGGCACGAACATAGATATTTAGTAAAAGTAGCGTCTCAAATCAGGGAGGGAAAAGATGGAGCACTTTTTAAACAACTTGTAAGGAAAGGGAATGTATTCTTATTTCCCACAGTCGCACGAAGCCAGTTCTGAAGGGAGCTGCTAGAGAGCACAGCACAATTACAGAGTGTTTGAGAAATACAAGCGGAAGAGAGACTTTGCTAAGCCTAATATTTACTCTGTTTCACGCTTTATTTGTAAGAGATGCTTAAGGTTCTCTGTTTCAGTTTAATGGGCAAGGAAATCCAAATTCTGAGTCTTTAGTCAAACCCATGGCTTCTCTGAGCAGGAATTCACGCTGTTAATAAGAATTGTCTTTTTATGGTTCGTATCTATGGCAACCACAACTGGGGAAAGGGTGAGTGGATGACTTGATAGAAATAAACCTTTAATTTTAGAATAATTCTATATTTACAGCAAAAAACTTAAAATAGTGGAATTTGTATCGATCCCAAACCTAATTTCCTATATTATTTCTCACAAGTAATGAGCCAATATTGGCACATCGTTATTAATTTAAGTTCACGCTTTATTTGGATGTCCTCAGTTATTATGCTTGTCCTCTTCCAGGGTTCCTCCCATTAGGCATCGTGTCTCCTTAGTGTCCTCTAGTTTGTGCCACTTTTGCTGTTTTGTTTTGTTTTTTTAAATGATCTTGACAGTTTTGATAAAACTGCTCAGGTCTGGGTAGAATGTAAGATGGGCCACTTTTAGTCTTGCTTTAAAAAACTGAGTCTCAACCTTACCCACATTCTTGATCTAACCAACAGTTCACAAAAAACTTAAGGAAAAGAGGGATATTTTAGAGAATGTTATAAGGATGAAACGAGATAAATCCAACGTGGGAAAGTCTATTAAAAAAATGACCCTTCTAAAAACATACATAAATAAAGAGCAAGACCAAAAGAAACAAACAGGAAGGGAAAGAATGAACCCTGATGTGCCCAAACTCGCAGTTTAAAAAGGGTTTCCCTCGGAAGATAAACGAGAGAATGTTTAAGAGGAGAGTTGACGATATTAAGGAACTGCTGTTCATTCTGAGGGGCACTATTGGTATCGCAGATATTTTTAGGACTCCTTATCTTAGGTATTTATTCGAGTACGTACGGATGACAGGGAAAGATGTCTCTTCAGGAGCGGACAGGCTGGGGAGCGCGGCAGCGGGACGCGGACGGAGTGGCGAGGAGGCCGCTCGCCGCAGGGACGCATGTCAAGTATATGAAGGGACGAAAAGGCGTGAGGTGTGAGGCAGGGACGCCCACCGGGCGGGGGAGAGGCGGAGGGCAGCGGCCTCCACGCAGAAGGCCGCCGAGAGAGGCGGGGCGGGCAGCTCCGTCCCGCTTTGGACACGAAAAGCGCTTTTCCGATTCCCAAAAAGTAAGTAAATGACCCTCCGTGAAAATACCTCTGAGCATTAGAGAATTTTTAAACGCAGATTTTTTTTTTTTTTTTGCTTTTCGAAATAATGTTGCATTTTTTTTTAAATTTTATAAATTGATTTTACTGACCCCAAAAATAGGTGAGGCTAGATTTGGATACAGAGGCTTGTCTGCCCCGATGCCTTTCCAGTTTCAGCCTTCACCTCAGGCAGAACTGGAATTCTGAGACTTCTGCCATAGGCACAGAATCGATCATTTTAACATGACCAGCCCAGCACTTCCCCTGGCCTCGGGGAAACCCTGATGGTTACGGCACGGAAGCCCAGCGATCAATAGAGCTCCCAGCATCCACCGCTCTGGCCCTGGGCTCAGCCGCTCATTCACATGCTCTACAAATCAATAGAGTTTCTTGTTTCCAGGATCACCAGAAAGCAACTTGTTAAAGGCCCCTTTTCCAGTGAATGAATGTTCCTTAAACACCCCTACGCACACCGCTCCGCCCTCTGTGGACCAAAACCGAACTGCTGGTTCGGAGGTCGGAGGAGCACCTCCTCCAGGCACGTCCCTCGGGTTTTGTGTAACTCATCTCTGCTCACGTTCACAGAACACGCTGTTTAAATGCTCCTGCGTGACGTCCACGCACGGCATCGGATTCTGATGTCCCAGGTCACGTCTGTGCCTGTCTCCAGGACCCTCCGGCTCCAGAAGCCGCTGAGATCGCAGCTGTCCCACCCCCGTCTCGCCCCACGCCCAGGTCTGGCCCCTCCCTGGCAGCTAGAGAACAAAGAGATCATATGGAGTCTTACACGCCCCGCTGTGCACCCCGTCTACCCGAGCAGCTCTGGAAACTATCATGTAGTAAGAGGACCAAAGGGTTCGCAGAAGTCCCCATGAAGCTGGAAAGAACTGCTAAACGTCCTTCCTTTCGAGCCACAAGAACTTGGAGGGACAACGCCAATGTCACCTTTGGGCTGTCGCCTTCTTGAGTACAGTTACCCATGATCCTCTCTTCACGGCCCACGGCCGCCAGGCTGACCTGGCAGGACCTCTTGGGCACATAGCAAATAATGCTCTTTGCTAATTACTTACTTCATTAAAACAACTATTTTCAGTCAGAAAATTGAGAGCTTTACCGTAGATTTGCAAACACTGAGTTCGCTGGCCACCAAAGGGCGCCTGCAGTGCAACGGAGTGCCGTTCGGGGAGCCGGCCCTGGTCGGCGGGCCGCCCCGTGTGCCGCCCTGGGGGAGTGTCTGCTCGGGCCTTTCCGGGTCCGGCCCACCACGTGGCGCGACGCAAAAATGACCAAGACCTAGAATCGTCCTCAGTTCCTACGTATACTCGCCATCAATATACAGAGCTACGTTTGTACTCAAAGTCCTCCGTGTTTTGTTGGTATTGTGTTTCCTGCCACAGATTCGGGGGACCAGGCCACGCCAACCGGCCAAGGGAGTTGAGTTGCATTGTCCAGTCCAGGATGTTTTGGAATCGGGACATAACACAACAGCTGGCGAGGTCCCTGCGGCTCACAAGATTGGACTGTCTCAGCGACATCATTAATAAGGGAGCCAATCAGGTGGCTGAACCCACGTGGGGAACGGGAGACCCAGAGCAAACCCGATTTACGGACGGAGAGAGGGCATCGCGTCCTGTGTCCCTCTCCGGCCACTCCGAGCCCACGAGAGTCACAGTGTGACAGCAGCAGAGACATTTCATGACGCCGCAAATCACACTTTCAGACAGGACTCACGCAACGTGGATGAGCTTGCAGCACATTTTAGTTTTCTGCACCTGCCTGTGGAAGATACAGTGTCGGGGGTGTCGGACTTACTGAGCGTCTGCTCTTCGTGTGGGGCTCCACGTTGGGAACGGACCCAAGCGTCAAATGTATCCCCCGAAGTGTGGAGCCAACCACATAAAACGTAAGACCACGTGACACTGTTTTAGCACTGGGTAGCGTTTGAGTTCAGCTGGCTCAAAAAAAAGAAAAAAGAAAAGTATTCACCAACTGAAATGGATTAGGGAGTGATGAGGAATATTAACCTGTGACTGAGATGTACCACAACTGTTGGAAATGCCAGTGGGCAAAGTACCCATATTTTTATGAATGATTAAAATTAATTAACGATTAGCTCCAAGCTGAAAAGCTTTCCTATAAAAATGTAAGAATCTTTTTAAGGAGGCTGCTTCTGTTTCATTCTAAAATGATCCCATGCTATAATGCTTAAAATGAGCTGGAACCTTCTCTCCTGTACTAGGTTCCTCATTCACTGCGAGGCACATAAGAGCTGAGAGAGGGGACAGTAAGGTAAGTAGTTGTGTATTTTTCTGGGCCTATTCAGATTCCGAGCTATTAGAAAACAAGGTTCTAACAGAGAGGAAAAAATCTAGAATGCAGCAGGAAAAAAAAAAAGCTAAACCGAGACTCTTCACTTCGGTTGAGCCATTACATGGTAGCGCTTTTGGAAAGATGAAGGTTTAAATGCCTCTTAAAGGGGGCGCTATGTCGATAGGATGTATAACCCTAAGAAGAAGTACAGATCTAAACACACCAGCAGGCTGTACAAGGGTTTAATAATCCATAAACCATGACCTCCTAAGAGTTCTGAGGGCCAGAAAGGACATCACAGAGCCATTGCTTGAAAGGGCATCTCTGAGCCCTCGTGAAGGGTGGAGCTTCCTGAAAAGGCACCGTCCCTTGATAGAGAGAAGCACAGAGGCCAGAAGACATTCTCTGCCCGGGATGGCATCTCCCCGTCACCCCCCCACGCCCCCCTCGTCCCTAGAGCAAGGCACTGAGTACCTGCCATTGGTCAGGACCTAGGCACCCTGGCCACTGAGCACAGTGTCACGAGAGAACGGAAAACCAAACCCAGGTGTGTTCCACACATTATCCTTTTTTTCTTTTTAAATAAAGGCTTTTACAGCAAAACAGTGTCAATAGACCTACCACCTGCATGTTTGTACCTCTCGGACCTTTACCTGCCTTCTCTTTCCCCCGAGAAACCTTAAGCTATGTTATTTGGAGCAAAGACCCAAGAGAGGGACAACGCGCAGAGGCAAGTGTTAGGCAAGGACCGCGCTCTGGGAGGGAGAGTGCGGCCGGCCCCGCGGACCGGTTCCCGGCTCTCCCAGGCCACGCATGCACGCGGTCTGCACCAGGACCGGCACACGGGAACCTCACGGGCCCAGATGAAGGGGCGTCCGCGCCGAAGACAGCTAATCGCAGACCCTTCGAAAGCACAGGGAGGGAAAGGGAGAGAGCTCTGGTCTGAGCTGTGACAGAACAAGCCTGCATGTCTCAGGCCAGTCCTCGCCGCTTCAGTTTTGTAACCTGTCGTGTAGGAACGGGGACACCCAGCTTAACCTCCCCCGTAAAGCTGTTACCAAAAAGACTAAATACCCCATAAAGGAGATGTGATATCACCCCCCAGCCAGGGGAACCCTATCTCTAGGAGGTGGTTTAAAGGTCTGTAACAAAATAGGCGTATCTTCAGGAGGAGGGCCGTTCACAGCATGTTTTGGACAGGAAATCCACTTTGAGGTCGTTTGCCTGGTTTGTCTAGAGATCCTATTCCCAGTTGAAAGTCTAAAGCAATGCAGGAGACCAGCTGTTCTAAAAAACCAAAACCAAACCAAAACACCCAGAGTAATGTCTGTCTGTCCGTCTCTTTCTCTTTAACAAGCCACTCAGTGTCTTTGGCTTCTTTGCCTCCCACTCTCTTTCCCGCTAACATGGCGTTCTCGCGGGCACGGCATCGTCCCTGAACTTTCTCCTTGGTCTGCAGAGGCCTGGCCTACAATTTTGAGAAGCCCTTATACAGGGCTCGGCGGAAGGCACGCCTGCTTGAGTGTGGTTGGTAGGGTAACAATACCGGTGAAGTAATTTATATTTTTAATTTGAGCATGTCACCTAAAATGTCCTATGGCATGCTTGAGCGTGATAGTGTTATGTTGCAGAATGACATGCCTATGATTTTGTAATAAAAAAAAAATCAGGGGCGTTATTTGTGCCACACCCTGCATTATTTGAATATTCCCTCCAATCACACTTTCTCTGTCAAGTGTTCTCATAAACCCTCTTTTAAAACACCCTCAGTGGCTCAGAATCCGAAGGAGCAGTGCAGGGGGGCCCTGGCTCCACCTGCCGCCCCAGGTCTCCAAGCCCAGGGGCGCCCGCAGAAGCAGAGCCTCCGCAGCGCCAGGAGATGCAACCAAGGCCCGCGCACAGCGGCCCCGGCCTCGCGGCCTCAGGGCGCGGCGCCCTCCAACGCGGCGCCGGGGAGGGGCAGCACCTGCCGGGCCCACAGCGCAGCGCCCACCTGCGCCCGCACCTGCACGCCCACCTGCTCCAGCGAGGCGCCAACCCCGAAAAGATGGGCGCTGCGGGGACACGGGTGTTATAAAGGACCCCGCGGGAGGCGGGCCGGCATTCCACACCACACCCGCCCCTACGGATGAACTATCAATTCCCACACCCTCACCCGCCCCTATGATTAGTTAAGTGAAAATGACCGTTTTCCTAATATGCCCAAGTGGCAATAGAAACCACCTGCACGGAGAGCCGGCCCAGAGCGCTCTCCTTGGTCTTAGAAAGTGAAGCAGAGCTGGCGTCCTCTTGGCGGGGCACGCAGAGACCCGGGCTCCGCGAGTCGCCACCCCACCGGCGCGGCCCGGGCGCGGGGCTCACCTGAGGGACCCGGGGGCCGCCAGATCCCCGGCCGCCGCGCACGCCGGCCGCAGGAACACCAGGTGGAAGGCGTGCTCCGCCAGCAGCGCCGCGGCCCCCGGCACGTCGCCCACGGTCACGGTGACCTCTGCCAGATTTGAAAACAGCTTCTGCACCGCATCGGCCAGGGGCTGAACGGGGACATCTCCAAGTAGCAAGACGTCTATTTTTACCTGAAAGAAAAGGAAAAAGCAGAGCAGCCCAGGGTGACCCTCTGGGCGCAGAGAGGTCCAAGGCAGCCCGGGGACCCGGGCACCTGTGTGGCCAGGTACAGGCCCCGGCAGGGCGGCGGCTGTTGGCCCCAGGCCTCGGAGGGCAGGCCGTGGGCGGATGGGAAGGCCGCACCAGTTTTTCAAAGTTTTGCCTACCGGTCCCATTCTCCTGAGGCTTTCCTGCAAGTCCCTCTCCCATCCCAGTAACAACAGACAGGGCCCTTCAGGCCTGGTTTCCCAACCGCCTGCTCGGCTCGAAAACCTGCTTCCTAATGGCAGACCCAAACGGGGGGCTCTCCCACACTATTTTTTGACTCCCCCAAATCATTCTGATGAAACACAGATTCCACAGAACAGCGTAAGCTCCAAATTCCTAAATCCTAAGCAACACTCCAGTAAAGTCCTTTATTTGAACAGAATGTACATGCTACTCGAATCTCAATACAAGGGATCAAAGGCCTTCTTTACTTCCATTTAGGGACACTTGAAGCACATTCGATTAGGAAAAACATAATTTCCATCTTCGTCTTTTATTTCTGTTTTATCCTCCACAGCAGAAGCAGCATTTGACAAAAGCCATCGTCCTTGCATGACAAAAATGCTAAGAAAAGGGGGACGGAGAAAACATTCCTCAGCATAATAAAGGCCGCGGGTGTCAAAACCCGCAGCCAACATCAAACGCAACGAGGAAACACTCAAAGCGTCTTCCTTAACCCTGGGAACAAGAAAGGGATGTCCGTTTCCACCGCCTTTTTCAGCATTTTTCAACATAGTATTGGAAGTTCTAGCCACAGTGATCAGGCAAAAAATAAATAACGAAGGCATCTGAATTGAAGAGGAAGACGTGAAACTGTCTTTGTTTACAGTAATGCAGCAGGATTCAAAATTGATATTCAGTCATCGGTTGCATTTGTATACACCAGTAATGAACTATCAGAAAGAGAAATTAAAAGAACAATCCCATTTACAATTGTACCAAAAAATAAGTAAAATACCTAGGAATAAATGTAACCAAGGACATACTCAGAAAGACCTGTATTCAGAAAACTATAAGACACTGAAGAAAGAAATTGAAGGAAACACAAATGAACTGGAAGCATACAATGTTCATCGATAAGAACTAACCTCCTTAAAATGCCCATACTCTCCAAAGTGATTTACAGAGTCAATGCAATCCCTACCAAAATACCAATGGCATTTTTTATAGAACTAGAACAAAGAATCCAAAAATGTATATGGAACCACAAAAAACCCCAAATAGCCACAGCAATCCTGAGAAAGGAGAACCAAGTTGGGGGTATCATGCTGTCTGATATCAAACTATACTACAAGACCATAGTAATCAAAACAGCAAGGTGCTGGCATAAAACCAGACACAGAGATCAACAGAACAGAGTCAAGAACCTAGAAATAAGCCCACACCTAAATGCTCAATGAATTTACGACAAAGGAGACAAGGATAGACAGTGTGGTAACGTGGTGCTGGGAAACTGGACAGACACATGCCCGAAAGATGAAACAAGACCACCTTTTTATACCATACAGGAGCCTAAACTCAAAATGGGCTAAAGACTTCAATGGAAGGCTCAAAACCATAAAACGTCTAAGAAGAAAACATAGGCAATAAACTCTTTGACATCACTCTTAGCAATATTTTTCTTTGAATATGTGTCCTTGGGCAAGGGAAACAAAAGAAAAAATAAACTAATGGGACAACATCCAACGAAAAAGTTCTGGCACAGCAAAGGGAACCATCAACAAAATGAAAGGGCAACCTACCGAACGGAAAACGTATTTGCCAATAATACATCTAGTAAGAGGTCAATATCCAAAACATAAGAAACCCATAGAATTTTACATCCCCCCCAAAAAAATCAATTAAAAAATGGGCAGAGGACCTGAATAGACATTTCTCCAAAGAGGACCTGCACACGGCCCACGTAAGCATCAGGGAAATGCAAGTCCAACCACCAGGACGTATTGCCTCACCCCTGCCAGAACGGCTGTCCCCCGTAAGTCAACAAACAGCCCTTCCCATCCTCCTGCAAAGACCCTCTGAGGCCCCTTCCCTCCTCCCTAGCTCAGGGGGTCCTATACGCCCACAGTCCCGTTCTGGCTCTGGGTCCCTCCTGCGTGGGGGCTTCCCCACCACCGGCCCCTTTACAGGGACCGCGGACTGTGACCTGGGTGTGAGTGGGCGGAACCACGGAAGCCCAGGCTGGGGCGCGGAGGCTGAGCCTGGCTCTGCGTCAGGAAGCAGCAGGCTTCACCCTGGAAGTCGGTCCCTTGCTGCCCTCCTCCAGGGCGGCCTTTCCCGCAGCCCTTTCCGGCGACCGAGCTCCGCAGGCCACTAACCCCGGGGACCCACGTCCTGCACACAGCAGCGCCCTGTCCTCGGAACGAGCAGTTCCTGGGGTTCATCCTGGACAGAGAGGCGCCGCGGCTCCGCTGCATCAGGAGCGAGCAGGGCGAGCCGAGGGGCTGAAGAAACGCGGGTGGACGGGCCCAGGCGGGCTGCGTGCAGCCGCTCCTCGCCGGCGCCTTCCACGCCGGCTGCGGCCACGGTTCCCCCGACCCGTCCCGGGAATCGTCCGACCGCTCATTTCTTCTCTTCGCCTCTTTGAAGCTGCGGTTTTTCTCCTTTTGTTTTAGTGGCAATGTGAACCTATCTGCTTTCTAAATGTCAAGTTTTCCTGTGGATTTTTTTTTTCTGTGTGTTCACAGAAGAGCTGTTTTGTTCACAGCAAGATCCCATTAAGGACTGTGCATTGCACTTGTTGCTCTGTCCCCCTTGACTTTTAATTTGGAATCTGCCCCATGGACCCCCCACAGTATTGACACGTGTAGACGCGTCCTGCCATGGAGCCTGGGTGGACGGAGACACGGATGTGCCACGTTCGCCGTCCTGAGCGGATCTCACCCGCCCGCCCCACCCTGTTTAAAACAGGATAAAAATTCAAACTCCTGGATGGCCTTTCACACCACGTCCCTTGTCTCACCCCCTCCTACTTCCCTCAGATATCCTTTGTTTTAAGACGACAGCGTGACAATGAGCTTTGAAATCTGGGACCTCTCCTGTAGAGGACATCTGGCCCCGGGGAGCGGGGCAGCCTTGTACAGCGTTTCCTTTCATTGTAAAAACCGCCCTCCCTCCCGGTGCCCCTGAGGAGCCACGCGGCGCCCTCAGCCACCTCGACGCTTGCAGGGCGGACCCGGCAAATCGCCGCGTGACACGGGGTGTCCTCGGGACCAGTGCGCTCCTCGTGAACCAGCGCTAAGCCCTGAAAACAGTCATTCACGAGCGGTCACAAAAGCAGTGATTCCAGTTGTGTTGCTGAATCGCCTGCTTAATGGGTGACCCCTGAAGTTCCCTTCCAAACTGAGGCCCTTTGAGAATGCAACGGGCTGCTATTAATAATTGCACTAAAGGAACAGGTGCACGCCAGGCTGTCCGGGGCTGCAGCGCTCAGCGCGAAAGGCTTGTTTTCCTTGCAAAGACCCCGTCGCTGGCCTCCGCTTCAGTGTGGCTGAAATCTGTGTGTTGTCCCTGCGGACAATCACGGAGGCCCCACCTCAGGGCAGACGCTGTGCTGGGAACAGAGGGCGGACAACCGGACAAGGTCCCTGCCGTTGTATGGCTTCCGTTCCAGCCGGCTTTTCCTCTCCTTCTGAGCATGGCACCCAACCTCAGAGCCCACAGAGAAGAGCACGTGAGCCCCAGGCCCACTGAAGCTGCTACCAGAACCCCTGTTTTAACACCTTGATGCAGTGGGAACAGATGTGGGGACAGAGGCATTCAAGCCACGGACCAGGGTCAGTCCCCCTAGTTCAGCCACCTCCTGGAGACTTGGAGCAGATACTCGTGTGGGGATGAGAGCACATCTCAAGGCTGTTTCAGGGAGCAATGTGTGTTCGGGGCGTTGTAGGTAGTAGCTGTCGCCACGTTTTCTCAAGCAGCACCAAGCGCGAGTAACAGCGTACAGCAAATGCCACCGGACCTCGGTGGGGAAGCGGACAGGAAGAGCTACAGAGGCAAGCATGCCCGCCTCAGGCAGCAGGGACAGCCCCGGGGCTCGGGAGCGTGGGCCTGCGGGGAGCCACGGCGCGTCCTGCGCGAGAGACGCCAGCGGCCAGCGCTCTGAGCCCCTGTGGCCTGGGAGGCTTCGGCCAGATTTCCCCGGAGCCGAGGCCAGAACCGGGGTCCTGCGGAGCAGGGACAAACCCAGAGGCGGGAGCGCGCCGCCCAGCAGCCCGCTGCGCTGTGGGCCATCGGGAGTCTGCAGCGCCATGCGCCAGAGCGGAGGGGACAGGGGCCAAAGCAGCTTCGGGAGGAAGCGTCCTTCCCGCCCCGCAAAGCCAGTGCCCCGGCTCACCTGGACGCCGGCGATGGGACCAGTGAGAACTCGGCCCGGCCCCCTCTCCCAAGGTGGCCCACATTACTTGGCCAGCTTCTCATCAACCTAAAGCAGAGCACCTGTTCAGGGAGAGGCGCCTTGCTGACGGCGCAATGCGAACGCAGGTGAGGAGAAGGCCCGCGGACGAGAACAGTGACGGCAAGTGAACGCAGCTGGCGGGCTGGGCGGCTCCGGAGACCCGCCCTTCAGCACAGGGCAGATGTCCACCTGGGAGCACGACGCCAGCCGACGCCAGGCCGCCTCGGGCAGAAAAATGTTTTTGTTTCTATTGCCTACCGCATCTTTTAAAAAAATAAATAAAAGCGATATGCCGTCATTGGGAAATATTGGGAAGTTCGAAAAAGCCCAACGAGAAGATAAAAACTATCTGTAAGTCCTGCCACTCAGGAACAAACGCTCCCCACCCCTTGGTGCAGGCCTCGTACGGGCCGGCCGTTTGCCTCACGCGACACCCTGGTCACCAAGGCTCTGGGGCCACTCCCTGGGGTTTCAGAAATCACACAGTCTGGGCCCGAGTGCATTGGCCCTCCGCTGGCGACCTGCCCCAGGCTAAGTTCTTAATCAGTGCCAGCAGGTGCTGACCTACTGCAAGCCCATCGCTCCCCCACTTTTGTGAGTTGTTATTTATGTCACTCGTGGCACCGGGCACAGCGGGAGCAGCTGGAGCAGCGGTTGCACCCACCGGGCGGCGGGGCGCCTCCCTGGGTCCCCAGGAGTCCAGGGGCTTAGCTCTGGTGCAGAGAGCGCCGGAGCGCGCTGCTCTCCAAGCAGAACACAAGGCCCGCGTGGGGCTCCAGGCTGCGTTCGGAGCGGAAAACCACGATTACGTACCTCCGACTAGATAATCAGACCCTTTATTCAGCGCTCCATTCTGGGCGGCTTGGCCTAACCCTGCACCACAAACTACTCTTTTTCCCTTTGCGTTTAAACAGGCACCTCCGTTTTGAACGAGTGAAGAACACCCGCTACGCCGGCCCACTTCCCAAGGCGGCCAATTCCGCTCAGAAAGCGTGTTCCCAAAGACCGAGGGGATGGAATGGGCGGGATGCTGTACGAGGCAACACCACCTCACCCCGGCCCAAGGGCCTCCCTCTCACGCGTATCCACCCAGACCTGAGAAATGGGAAGGGAGCCGGCCCGTGCGCCCCGCTTGCTGGGGTGGGTGACGGCTCTTCCGCCCGGGCTGATAACCGCCTTTCCTTTCCAACTGAGCCAGCCTCACAAGGGACTGTGCGGCCGCTGCGGGGGTAGGAAATACGCTGCTTCCCAAGAGGCCCGCGGGCGTTGGGGCTTCGCGGGGGCGGTCGCCGCCCGCACCTGGCTGGCCCGCGCGCGGGGCTACGGCGCTTCGCGGCCACGCCAGGAAGCGGATTGAGGACGACACGCGGGCTCGGGCAGCCACAGGAAGGCTGAAGGCACGCTTTCCTCGGTCCCATACACGGTCCTATAGTCCAGCTAAAAGTTGGCAGTCACTTTTTGCCCGGCCGCCAGCCCCAAATACCTAACAACTTTGCTCCAGGCTCCCTGACTCCCAGTGGCCTCCGCCCGCCGTTCGTGTTAAGTGCAGCGCATGTCGGGCTGCAGGGGGTTTCCCCATAAAACCGTCACCCCCCTCCTCTTGCGGCCGCTTTCCTGACGGGGTTCAGCCGGGTCCCCCACCTCGAGGCGGGCAGGGGCCCGGGAGCTCCGACCCCGCCGCCTCGCTGAGACCCCGGGCCCATCCCCAGAACGAGAGACGCCCAGGCCCGCGGGCGTTATAAGCGCAGCTGCCTCCCCTTCCTGCTCCTTCGCCTCTTGCTTCTTACCTGCCCGGCGACTCGGTCGGGCTCCCGGCCGCTAATTGAGGCGGCCATGCCCGCTGCCCACGGCCCACGTGCCCGGTGCGGGGCGGCCTCCCCACAGGAGGAGCTCGGGCCGCGGCGCCGACCGCTGGGATGGCCCGGGGCGCGCACCTGCGCCGCGTGCGCCCCCACCTGGCGCCGCGTGCGCCGCCGCCTTAAAGGGACCCGCCGCGCGGGCCAGGCCTGGGCGCCGGGGCAGACAGTTGGCGATGGGCGCGCCCCGCGGGCAGGGCCGCCCCAGGACCCTGGAGGTCCCGCCCTGTCACCGGCGGGTCCCCGGAGAGGCTCGCACCGGCCTGGGTCTCCCTTGAACCACCCACAGCCCCTCTGTCAGGGCAAAGGCCCTGTTTCCTGAGCAGGAGGTTCTGTGCTCCGGGGCCTGAAGCCGACCCTGAGAGCCTGCAAAACTATTCCTGTGGTTCTGTGTGGTTTTATTGTCAGGAAAAGGTGCAGATAAACTTCTGATGAGGTCATTCTATGTTATTTTTGGAAGTAAATGTACACGTTTCAATAGATACGAATGTGGGTTATTTACCGTATTTAGCCGTATATACTGCGCACACATGTTTTTGGCCCAGACTTTCAGGGAGGAAAATAATCTTTCGTTTTTTAAATTGTATTGTTTATATTTAGGAACAAAACCAATTATCGTATTCTACGGCATTATTTTGCATATGGATATCATTATTACTTTCTAGAGTTACACTTTTAATGCATCAGCATTAATAAAAGAATTAAAAACACGTAGATACAGAATTTTGCCCAAATATTTGGGCAAAAAAGTGCACATTATCCACGGCAAGATACGGGCATTGCTTTTTCAGTTAATCGGGAACTGAGAGGAACCGCACAGATGCGAGGCAGTGAGGTTGGGCATCCACAGGGACGAAGCCACGCCCCGGCCCAGGGTGGGGTTGGGGGATGGGGGTCGCCTGGCGCATTTTCCGGGGTAACCGGGTTTGCTTTGCGTCCCAGCAGCCCCGATGCTAATAGTGACCAAGACGTTCCTGAGGTGCTGCAGGCTCCTACCTCCAGACTGAGTGGAAGTAGCCATACCTTTGCAGCAGGAAGCAAAAAAAAAAAAAAAAAAAAAAAGAATAAACCTCTTCTGTACCCAAGCTTCATCAAGAACCAAATTAAGTATTTTAGTACTTTCCCATCTCTGTCACCTTGAATGCTCTCGAATCATCTTCATTTGTATCATTAGAGACAAACGGGCAGATGGATTTTCTTCCTGGGTCCCAAGAGTAAAAATAGGCCATTTATGCTCTTGATGGAAACCTGAATACTATGAATTATTAAATATGACAAGTCATTCTCCACAGAGAAATATACTTAAAACTTGCACTCAAAATGGACACTTCAAATCATCTCTTAGAAGATAGCTCCTGGGTCACCTGAAATTATGATGCTTTCCATTATTTTCCAAAAAAATTAAATAAGAATTGTGTATTTTTCATGCTATTCATATACCCTGAATAGTTCTATAAAGTAATACATTATACATGGCCTGTTCAAAGGAATTCTTATCAAGAGCCTATGCTTGAAATGCTCAGGAATTTTCCACCCAGCTATTGTAAAGAACTGTTCATCTATAAGCACTGTGTCCACACTGTTGCTTCCCTGGCTTGTTCTCAGAGTTACAGAAATTTAGAACTCGACGGGGCCCTAGAGATGGCCTAACTACCCTTCCCTCTGAAAGACCCTGAGGCCCGGAGATTGTTCTCGTAAGGGCTATAACCACGGAAGTTGAAAGCCGGAGCATTAACACACGTCCATTGCTTTTCTATTTAACAATGTACTGAATTCAGTATTTAAATACCTACACTGTAAACAGGGGTGTTCAACCCTCAGCCTGTTTACAGTGTAGGTATTTAAACACATGCCTACACGCACGCAGCCCAGGGTCGCTGTGAATGCGGCCCGACACAAAATTGTGAATGCACTGAAAACACGGTGAGATTTTTTTTGTGATCACGTGTTGCAATGTATTTCACGTGTGGCCCAAGACGACGCTTCTCCTTCCAGTGCGGCCTAGAGGCGCCTGGAGGCTGGACAGCCTGCTTTAAAGCATCACGTTTGCACTGTGTTTGGAATATGAGGTCCAGCGGTCCTCCATTACTTGACGAACCATTAGGTGGTACTATGGAGGTACAAACAGGGACATTTTCTTAATGTTCACGGAGGAAGGGGATTTTTCACACAAAGGAACGGCTCTGGATGAGGCGCCAAAGACACACAGCTGGCCCTGGTGTGGTTGGGGCTGGAACCCAGGTAGGCCGGCTCCACAGGCCACGCGTGCCAGGTAATTATACGGCATGAGGGCGTGTGGTTACGACCCGTGTAACAAGGTAGGTGGTAGAACGAGCAGGAAGGCCGACGGCCCGGGGAAGGAGAGGACAGGCCACGCAGTACAGTTCTGGAAGCTCCGACCCCTTCCCGCTGCGCCGTCATCACAAACAGCTGGAGCTGAGCAGCGGGCGCGCAGTCAGCCTGGTTTAAACTCTTCATCCCCCTCCTGACGTCGTTTTCAGCAATTCCAGTGTTCCTCGTAGTCTTACACGCTGAATGTAAAACTCTCCACGTCGACGTCGACGCGGCTCTTCTCGGTGAGGATGTGGCCGCTGAATCTATTAAAAGAAACAAAGACAAGACAACAGCAGCTGACTGAAATCTCCGCCAAGCACATCGCCTTCTCGAGCTCACGACCCTCTCCTGAAACAGCGAATTCCCTAGAAACTGTATTTATTCTCTCTTAGATACTTGTTAGTAATCTATAGAATTTAAAAAATGGTATCAGTAGGATAAGTAGGTCAGCTAAAACAGAGCAGGGTCTGGTCTCTAAAAATAACGTCAGCGACACAGCACATGGCCGGGAAGCCGCGGCTCTGGCTCCGCTCGGCTGTCCCTGCCTCCCCGCACGGCCGGCCGCTCTCAGGCGGCCCTCCGCGCCGCAGCGCTCGGTGTGCCAGTGCTACCAAGGCCAGCGCCCCCGCCCCCCCAAACACGAGCTTGCTCCGGGGGAAAGTCAGTGCAAGTCCCACCAACGGGAGAGGCTACACTGGGTCGGTTTCAAGAAAATAAATGATCACAGTAGGATTGTAGGATACAAGGTTAATAGACATAAAAGTTTATCACTTTCCTATCCACCAACCAGGAAAACAAGTAGAATTGAAAATTAAAAACATAGTAACATTCACATTAGCATTCCCCCCCCAACCCAATGAAATCCTTAGGTATAAGACCAGCAAAGTACGTACAAGATCTGTATGAAGACAACTACAAAACTACGATGAATAAAATCAAATAAATAAACTAAATAAAGGGAGAGCTATCCCATGTTCATGAATACTGTCAGGATATCAGTTCACCCCGACTTGATTTACAGGTTGCATGCAATCCCCATCAAAATTCCGTAGAGTAATTTTATGGATATCAACAAACTAATTCCAGAGTTTATATGGAAAGGCGAAAGACCCAAAATAGTCAACACAACACTGAGGGAGAAGAACAAACTGGAAGAACTTGTGCTAATCAACTTCAACACTTTTGTAAAGCTTCAGGAATCGAGACAGTGTGGCTTTGGCAAAAGAATAGACAAATGAATCAATGGAATATAATAGAGAGCCCAGATTTAGATCCCCCCTTTTCCCCCCCCAGACACAAGGACAAATAGACCCTTTGTCTACTTATCTTTGACAAAGTAGAGAAGGTGATAAAAGGGAACAAAGTAGCCTTGTAAGAGTACCAGGCAATTGGACATTGTTATGAAAAATAATGAATCTAGACACATGCCTTGCAGCCCCATAAAAATTTACTCGAAATGGATCACAGACCTAAATGTAAAATGAAAAACTATAAAACTCCTGAAAGATGACAGAGGAGAAAACCTGGGCGACTTTAGGTAACACCAAAGATGCTGTCTGTGAAAAAAATAATATGGAAGATGATCTTTATTAAAGTTAAAAACTTCTGTGTAAGACACTATCAAGAAAACCAGAAGACAAGCCACAGACAGGGAGAAAATACACACACACACACACACACACACACACACACCCCGACTATCATCTAAAACATACAAGGAACACTTAAAACTCAACAACAAACAACCCAATTAAAGAAAGGGTCAAAGACCTTAACAAATACCTCCCCAAAGAAGACACAGAGATGACACATGAGGATATTAGAAGATGTCCCGCACCCTGTCATCAGGAAAATCCAGATTGAATCGACGACGAGATGCCACTGCACACCGATCGGAACGGCCGGAGCCCCGACCACGGACAAGCAGCAGCGCTCCTCATGGCTGGCAGGCGGGGAAGATGCGGCGGCCGCTCGGGAAGACAGTTTGGCAGTTTTCTTACAAAAGCAAACACGCTCTTACCCTGTGACCCAGCTATTGCTGTTCCTGCTATTTACCCAAAGGAACTGAAAACCTGAGTCCACATAAAGTCCTGCCCATGGACATTTACTTATAGCAGCTTTATTCCCAGGTGCCAAAACCTGGAAGTGACCAAGATGTGCCTTAGTCAGTGAACAGACGAACTTTGGCGCCTCCAGGCAAGGGGCTGTTCTACCAAGAAGAGATGAACTAGCAAGCCGTGCACAGAGACGAAGAAACCCCAAGTGCACGGGGCTGAGGGGAGGAAGCCAACCCGACAAGGCTCCATCCACACCGCGCGCCCCCAGCTGTGTGACCTCCTGGAAAAGGCGAGGTACGGAGACAGTGAAGACGTCGGTGGTGCCCGGGACGGGAGGGCGGGGGTCAAGGGCGGGGGGAAGACCCTGTGTGATGCGACACGGAGGGACGCGTGTAACCATGCGCTTGGCCAAACGCGCGGGACGGGCTCCACGAGGAGGGAACGGAAGGTAAAGGGTGGGCTTGGGGTGGTGAAGGTGAGCCAGTGTAGGCTCGTCCCGGCGAGAGGGGCGGGGTGGGGGGGCCGGGCACGCGTGCGGTTGAGCGGTTACCGTATCTGCCCAGTGTGGTGGGCACCCACGTGTTAGTG